GAAACAATCACTGGAAAATTGAAAAATGGAAGAAGCAAAACCTGACCGTCAATCTCCCTCGGACTGGGACTCCATGCAAGATCTCAAATCGTGCGGCATCAATACGGAGCCCCCTAGGGGACATGCAGAATTTTTTTTCTTTTGCATTCCCTGGCAAAACCTTTTGTGTTCCCTCACAATACTTTTGCGTTACCTCACAATACTTTTGCGTTATCTGCATGAGGTAACGCATGCAGGTAACACATACGATATAAAAATATTATGCAGCACTTTTATATATGATGTTTTTCATCATGCTGTAATAGCAATCATATTTGGAGATTGGAGTAGTGGTCAGTGGAAAACAATTTCCCTTTTGGGAAAACAATCTTAAAGTTTACTTCCATTTCAACACAATAACCCAACATAGTTTTTGTACAAAAATGTCTACACTTATAATTAAACAAGGTGTAGTATTACTTTAAGCTTTATAACAGAATATGTCATTACCTTATCCACCTTCTTCAGATTTATTTTTTCTTCCGTAACAGGCCTTGATCGAAGCAAGGCTTCTAGATCCTCCTCCATCCTACATATTTTCCAAACAGTTTTCTAAATTCATAATGTATACAATTAAACTGCAAGAGTTTAAACTCATAAGTATTTCAGTATTTCAATGTCACTTTTCTTTGGGGCACCATAAATTATGTAAGTACTTAAAGGGAGCTAAAACAGATAAGAGAAAAAGACAAAATCTACAACAGAAAGAATAAATAAATAAAATAAGCTCACCAGAGATACCCAGCCACCCCAGTAAAGCAGTGCCTCTTAATTCCAGTCCTCAGTCCTGCTCTGCATGTTTTAGGCTACGTTCACACTGCAGGCCTTGATGCTCAATTTCGATTTTTTTTGTGAAATCTGATTTTTTTTGCGTTGCCATTCCCATTTCCAAATATATATGCGACTTGTATGTGATCTCCTGTGTGAACTGCAGTCATACAGCGCAAGTGTCCCACATGCGCAGTAGAGGACGTAGTGACGTCACAGGCCAGCCTGCTCTGTGTTTACGGAAGTAAAAATGGATGGTAGTGCCGGTGTTGGGCTTTAATCAGTTTCTAGTAAGTCGGCTGAGGTCAAAACGCCCTGCTAGAAACTGATTAAAGGCCAAATGTGGTTGAAGAAAGGTGATTTTTGCCTAAAAGGGACTTTTTCTATTTAAAATAAGATGCTTCTGAATGAAATCAAGTCATATTTGGGCAGATATCCCCTTTGAATGAGAGTATTTGGGCTTTAATCAGTTTCTAGCAAGTCGGCTGAGGTCAAAACGCCCTGCTAGAAATTGATTAAAGGCCAAATGTGGTTGAAGAAAGGTGATTTTTGCCTAAAAGGGACTTTTTCTATTTAAAATAAGATGCTTCTGAATGAAATCAAGTCATATTTGGGCAGATATCCCCTTTAAATGAGAGTATTTGGGCTTTAATCAGTTTCTAGCAAGTCGGCTGAGGTCAAAACGCCCTGCTAGAAATTGATTAAAGGCCAAATGTGGTTGAAGAAAGGTGATTTTTGCCTAAAAAGGACTTGTTTTATTTAAAATAAGATGCTCCTGAATGAAATCATGTCAAATTTGGGCAGATATCCCCTTTGAATCAGAGTATTTGGGCTTTAATCAGTTTCTAGCAAGTCGGCTGAGGTCAAAACGTCCTGCTAGAAATTGATTAAAGGCCAAATGTGGTTGAAGAAAGGTGATTTTTGTCTAAAAAGGA